ACCTGGTTCTCCACCCTCGAGCCAGAACTTCTCCAGGCCTCCTGGTGACTTACCAGCTTTTCTGTTACCCTCGGCCACAGTCAGTGTCCCTGGATGGAAGGGGAAAGGGGAGAAGTTCTGGAGGGACAGGGAGAATCTGTCCTGTTTGCTTTTTTTTTTTTTTTGAGATGGAGTCTCGCTCTATCACCAAGGCTGGAGTGCAATGGCACAGTCTCAGCTCGCTGCAACCTCCACCTCCCTGGTTCAAGCGATTCTTCTGCCTTGGCCTCCTGAGTAACTGGGATTACAGCATGCGTCACCACACCCAGCTAATTTTTTGTATTTTTAGTAGAGATGGGGTTTCACTATGTTGGTCAGGCTGGTCTCGAACTCCTGACCTCAGGTGATCCGCCCACCTTGGCCTCCCAAAGTGTTGGGATTACAGGCATCAGCCATCGCACCTGGCCCCTATTTGCGCTTTCTAATGCAAACCAGGCCTGCACACTGCCTTGGGTCCTAAAATCGTTGCACTGACTGGGTCTTCTCAAAATCCTATATCCAAGCATCTTAGGTCTTCAGCTCCACCTCTGAGGACCCACTAGGGAGTCTCAGGAAAGAGGGAGGGGTCTTTCATCTCAAGAAAAACATGGAGCTCTTATCTCCACCGCCCACCCCTGTGCTCTACCCTTCTTCCTCTCTGCAGAAGGAGCTCAGTGAGGACATCCGAGGGACCCACGATGCAAAGCAGGGCTCCGAGAGCCCTGCCCAAGCAGGGAGAGAGTCAGAGGCCCTGAAGGCCCAGCTGGAAGAGGAGAGGAAGCTGGTGGCCCAAGTGCAGGGTGAGCTGGAGGCGCAGAGGAGCCAGCTGCTGCAGCTGAGGACCCAGCGGCCCTTGGAGAGGCTGGAGGAGAAGGAAGTGGTGGAGTTCTACCGGGACCCCCAGCTGGAGGGCAGCCTGTCCAGGGTGAAGGCCCAGGTAGAGGAGGAGAGCAAGCGGCGGGCTGGCTTGCAGGCAGACCTGGAAGTGGCAGCCCAGAAGGTCGTGCAACTGGAGAGCAAGAGGAAGACCATGCAGCCTCATCTGCTGACCAAGGAGGTCACCCAGGTAGAGAGGGACCCCGGCCTGGACAGCCAGGCGGCCCAGCTCAGGATCCAGATCCAGCAGCTCCGCAGGGAGGATGCCGTCATCTCAGCCCGGCTGGAAGGGCTGAAGAAGGAGCTACTGGCCCTTGAGAAGAGGGAGGTGGACGTGAAGGAGAAGGTCGTGGTGAAAGAAGTGGTCAAGGTGGAGAAGAATCTGGAAATGGTCAAGGCCGCCCAGGCTCTGAGGCTGCAGATTGAGGAGGATGCTGCACGGAGGAAGCAGGCAGAGGAGGCTGTGACCAAGCTACAGGCTCGCATCGGGGACCTGGAGCGGGCTATCAGCTCGGTGGAGCCCAAGGTCATCGTGAAGGAGGTGAAGAAGGTGGAGCAGGACCCAGGGCTCCTCCAGGAGTCCTCCAGGCTGAGGAGCCTTCTCGAGGAGGAGAGGAGCAAGAACGTGACACTGGCCAGGGAGCTGAGCGACCTGCACAGCAAGTACAGCATGGTGGAGAAGCAGAGGCCCAAAGTGCAGCTCCAGGAGCGCGTCCACGAGATCTTCCAGGTGGATCCGGAGACAGAGCAGGAGATCACTCGGCTCAAGGCCAAGCTGCAAGAGATGGCGGGCAAGAGGAGCGGTGTGGAGAAGGAGGTGGAGAAGCTGCTGCCCGACCTAGAGGTCCTGCGGGCCCAGAAGCCCACGGTGGAGTACAAGGAGGTGACCCAGGAGGTGGTGAGGCACGAGAAGAGCCCCGAGGTGCTGCGCGAGATCGACCGCCTGAAGGCTCAGCTCAATGAGCTCGTCAACAGCCACGGGCGCTCCCAGGAGCAGCTCATTCGCCTGCAGGGTGAGCGCGATGAGTGGAGGCGGGAGCGGGCCAAGGTGGAGACCAGGACGGTGAGCAAGGAGGTGGTGCGCCACGAGAAGGATCCGGTGCTGGAGAAGGAAGCAGAGCGGCTCCGCCAGGAGGTGCGGGAGGCGGCCCAGAAGAGACGGGCCGCGGAGGACGCGGTGCACGAGCTGCAGAGCAAAAGCCTGCTGCTGGAGAGGAGGAAGCCCGAGGAGAAGGTGGTGGTGCAGGAGGTCGTGGTCACCCAGAAGGACCCGAAGCTGCGCGAGGAGCATAGCCGGCTGAGCCGGAGCCTGGACGAGGAGGTGGGCCGGCGGCGCCAGTTGGAGCTTGAGGTGCAGCAGCTGCGGGCCAGCGTAGAGGAGCAGGAGGGCCTGCTCAGCTTCCAGGAGGACCGCAGCAAGAAGCTGGCCGTGGAGAGGGAGCTGCGGCAGCTGACCTTGAGGATCCAGGAGCTCGAGAAGCGGCCTCCCACGGTGCAGGAGAAGATCATCATGGAGGAAGTGGTCAAGCTGGAGAAGGACCCGGACCTGGAGAAATCCACGGAAGCCCTGCGGCGGGACCTGGACCAGGAGAAGGCCCAGGTGACGGAGCTGCATCGGGAGTGCAAGAACCTGCAGGTCCAGATTGACGTTCTCCAGAAAGCCAAATCGCAGGAGAAGACCATCTACAAGGAAGTGATCCGGGTGCAGAAGGACCGCGTGCTGGAGGATGAGCGGGCCCGCTTGTGGGAGATGCTCACCAGGGAGCGCACTGCCCGGCAGGCCAGGGAGGAGGAGGCGCGGCGCCTGCGGGACCGCATTGACCGGGCCGAGAGGCTGGGGAGGACCTGGTCCCGGGAGGAGGCTGAACTGCAGAGGGCCCGGGACCAGGCAGACCAGGAGCGTGGGCGGCTGCAGCAGGAGCTGCGGGCTCTGGAGAGGCAGAAGCAGCAGCAGACACTGCAGCTGCAGGAGGAGTCGAAGCTGCTTAGCCAGAAGACAGAGAGCGAGCGGCAGAAGGCGGCCCAGCGGGGCCAGGAGCTCTCACAGCTCGAGGCGGCCATCCTCCGCGAGAAGGACCAGATCTATGAGAAGGAGCGGACCCTCCGGGACCTCCACGCCAAGGTGAGCCGGGAGGAGCTCAGCCAGGAGACCCAGACGCGAGAGACCAACCTTTCCACCAAGATCTCCATCCTGGAACCCGAGACAGGGAAGGACATGTCCCCGTACGAGGCCTACAAGAGAGGCATCATCGACAGAGGCCAGTACCTACAGCTGCAGGAGCTCGAGTGCGACTGGGAGGAGGTCACCACCTCGGGGCCCTGTGGGGAGGAGTCTGTGCTCCTGGACCGCAAAAGCGGGAAGCAGTACTCCATCGAGGCGGCCCTTCGCTGCCGGCGCATCTCTAAGGAGGAGTACCATCTGTACAAGGATGGCCACCTGCCCATCTCTGAGTTCGCATTGCTTGTGGCTGGGGAGACCAAGCCAAGCTCCTCGCTCTCCATCGGCTCTATCATTTCCAAGTCCCCCCTTGCCTCCCCGGTCCCCCAGAGCACCAGTTTCTTCTCTCCCAGCTTCTCTCTCGGGCTCGGTGATGACAGCTTCCCTATCGCCGGAATCTATGACACAACCACAGACAACAAGTGCAGCATCAAGACGGCCGTGGCCAAGAACATGCTGGACCCCATCACCGGGCAGAAGCTACTGGAGGCCCAGGCGGCCACAGGGGGCATCGTGGACCTGCTCAGCCGTGAGCGCTACTCTGTGCACAAGGCCATGGAGAGGGGCCTGATCGAGAACACCTCCACACAGAGGCTGCTCAACGCCCAGAAGGCCTTCACTGGCATCGAGGACCCTGTCACCAAGAAGAGGCTGTCGGTGGGCGAGGCTGTCCAGAAGGGCTGGATGCCCCGGGAGAGTGTGCTTCCACACCTGCAGGTGCAGCACCTGACCGGGGGGCTCATCGACCCCAAGAGGACAGGCCGCATCCCCATCCAGCAGGCCCTCCTCTCCGGGATGATCAGCGAGGAGCTGGCCCAGCTCCTGCGGGACGAGTCCAGCTACGAGAAGGATTTGACAGACCCCATCTCCAAGGAACGGCTGAGCTACAAGGAGGCCATGGGCCGCTGCCGCAAAGACCCCCTGAGTGGCCTGATGCTCCTGCCAGCAGCACTGGAGGGGTACCGCTGCTACCGCTCCGCATCGCCCACCGTCCCGCGCTCCCTGCGCTGACACAGGCCAAACAGCCAGTAGGGAAGTGTGTGTGTTGGGGCAGGTAGGATACGTACACCTCTTGCCCCAGAGCAGCCTCATCCCAGGCAGTGGGTCTTCCCCCTGTCCGACCACTGTTTTATTATTTTACTAACTTGGTGTTGGGCTCCCTCCCCTAACCTTGGTGCCTGATCCATCCCCAGACCAGGACAGCAGCCACTCAGTTCTTCCTCCACCTCCAGCCAGTGATCCCAATAAACAAATTCTCTCTCCCTGTGCCATGTGGTGTCCCATTCGTTCACATTTGAGAGCACAGGATCCAGGTGTCTGGGAGATGAGTGCAGGGACAGCATTGCTCAAGTCCTTCCCTGGGCGGACGTGCTCAATTTGCCTGCCTAGGAAATGGGCATCCTCAGAGATTATGGTTTAAAATCACTAAAGGAAGCTGGGCACGGTGGCTCACACCTGTAATCCCAGCACTTAGGGAGGCCAAGGCAGGTAGATCACAAGGTCAGGAGTTCGAGGACAACTTGACCAACATGGTAAAACCCCATCTCTACTAAAATACAAAATTTAGCTGGGTGTGGTGGTGCGTGCCTGCAATCCCCACTACTCAGGAGGCTGAGGCAGGAGAATTGCTTGAACCTGGGAGGCAGAGGTTGCAGTGAGCTGAGATTGTGTCACTGCACTCCAGCCTGGGTGACAGAGCGAGACTCTGTGTCAAAAAAAAAAAAAAAAAAAAAAAAAGATCATGGAACAGCTCCTGTCTCCCCACCTGCTCCTTGCTCCTTGCCCATTTCCCCGCTGTCTCAGTTTGGGCCAGAGCTGTCTCCAGCCCTGTGTCAATGTCCCCCTTGGGAAGCCCAGGGGTCTCCTGTGAGCAGTACAACCAGAAAACTCAGGAACATATCATATTTATTTCTTGTTGTCAAGCCAGAAACGAACCAAAAGCAGCATATCTCAGGTGAAGGAAGGACTCTTTAGTGCAGTCACAGCCCAGCTCTCCTGGGATCCGGGGAATGCCCTCTCTCCTCTCCCTCACTTCCCTCCTGTTTAACTTGGGACTCTTAACTGGAACTCAACTCTTCCCCCAAACATTTTAAATCCAAAAAGACCAGCAGGGGGCGCCATTTCCTCAGGGTCTGGCCCTGCAGGCGGGGCAGGCGAGGGCTTGCACACGTACACCCAGCTCTGGCAGGCCCCCTGCCTTCAACTTGGCACGTGTTGTTCCAGTGCCTGGGGACCCCTCGTGCATGGAGCATCCATGCCTCTATTTTGAAACGGCACCATCAAACCCAAAAAACACACAGGATCTCCCTAACCTGTGGGCAGGACTAACCCAGACTCAGCCCTCTGCAGGCTGATGCCAAATTCCTTAGCGCTTTGCTCTCCCCAGATGCGTCCTCTCTCAGCAATGGGTAGGAGGCAGCTGGGGCAGCAGCTGCTCAAGAGAGGATCTGAGTGTGGTCTTGATGTTCTCAACGGCAGAATCGCTGCAGCACATACTGGCGGGCGGCCGGAGAGGGCTCGGGGGACGAGAAGTACGGGTGGGCCAGGGCAGTCTTGGCTGTGATCCGCCGGCTGGGGTCATACTGCAGGAGTTGCTGGGAAGAAAGGAACAAGAGGATGTGGTCTGGGTGCAGCCAGGGTGGGGTGAGAAATCCCCCTCCCAGGTCCCAGATCAAGGGCCTGAGCCCCAAATTGGCTGCCCTCAAACCCAGAACCGCACGAAGCCACGACCTCCTGGCTCTCCAGCCAGTTCTGGACACTCCTGGAATCTGGACCATCCTAATGAGTCACCCAGGTCTCCTCAGGCCACTGAAGCTGAGTCACTCCCCTTCTCGGGGAGGGTCCCAGGTCCTAGCCTGCTTCTAGTCGGGAAGACTACAGAACCCCACGCATCAGGAAGCAGGGGACTGAAGCTGTCCAGGGAGAAACCCTGAGTGGGGGGCACAGGGACTGATACTCTAAGAGGCCAAACCTGTCCAGTCCTCTGCCCTAGAGTCCCTAGACCCAGGCAGGATGTGGAAGGACCCCCCGTGGTGGAGCAGCCCAGACGGAGGGCTCGGGGCCTTGGCTGGAGTCCGTGCCGTCCTGCTCCCATTGGGCGGGTAGACAATACGCAGACTTCTGGAGAGCTGGACACGCAGCCTGAAGATGAAAATACTGACCCGCCTTCCTCACTCAGCACCAGATTAACGAAAGAAATGTGGCTCCAAGACTTTGTGGGCAAGAATGGACAGGGGACAGGTGCAGTGGCTCACACCTGTGATCCCCCACTTTGACAGGCCAAAGCAGGAGGATCACTTGAGCCCAGGAGTTCGAGACCAGTCTGAGCAACATAGTAAGACCCCCATTTCTACAAAAATAAAATTAGCTGAGCATGGTGGTGCACCCCTATCGTCTCAGCTACTCAGGAAGCTGAGGCAAGAGGATCCATTGAGCTCAGGAGTTCGAGACCAGCCTGGGCAACATGGTGAAACACTGTCTCTACAAAAAAATACAAAAGGTAGCCAGGCATAGTGGCATGTACCTGTGGTCCCACCTACTCAGGAGGCTGAGATGGGAGGATTGCTTGTGCCTAGGAGGTCAAGGCTGCAGTGAGTCATGGTCATACCACTGCACTCCAGCCTGGGTGACAGATTGAGACCCTGTCACAAAAAAAAAAAAAAAAAAGGATGGCTCTGCCAGAGATTTCTGGGCAGTCCAGCCTGGTACACAGCTCAAGACACCAACAGGAGGGGTGAGTGTGAACTGTGGCATGGGCCCAGGCAGCAGGGGACAGCCTGTTCTGAAGACTGACCACTGTAGGAGTCACAGGGGGAACACCCAGGTGGTAGAATGAGTGGCCCCAGCTGGGCACAGTGAGTGGCTCACGCTTGTAATCCCAGCACTTTAGGAAGCTGAGGTGGGCAGATCACCTGAGGTCAGGAGTTCGAGACTAGTCTGGCCAACATGGTGGAACCCTGTCTCTACTAAAAAAAAAAAAAAAAAAAAAATACAAAAATCAGCTGGGTGTGGTGACAGGCACCTGTAGCCCCAGTTACTCGGGAGGCTGAGGCAGAAGAATGACTTGAACACAGGAGGTGGAGGTTGCAGTGAGCTGAGATCACGCCATTGCACTCCAGCCTGGGCAACAAGAGCGAAACTCCATCTCAAAAAAAAAAAAAAGGGCCGGGCGCGGTGGCTCAAGCCTGTAATCCCAGCACTTTGGGAGGCCGAGACGAGCGGATCACAAGGTCAGGAGATCGAGACCATCCTGGGTAACACGGTGAAACCCCATCTCTACTAAAAAAAAATACAAAAAAACTAGCCAGGTGTGGTGGCGGGCACGTGTAGTCTCAGCTACTCGGGAGGCTGAGGAGAATGGCGTAAACCTAGGAGGCGGAGCTTGCAGTGAGCTGAGATCCAGCCACTGCACTCCAGCCTGGGCGACAGAGCGAGACTCTGTCTCAAAAAAAAAAAAAAAAAAAGAAGGTATGGCCCCGGCCTGGGGAGGCATACAGCTTAGATGGAGCAGTAATGTCCACAAAGTAGAATAACCAAACACACAAGGCAACTAGGGCAAAAGGGCATGCAGCACAGCAGAAAGACAGAGCTAACTAAATGAGGCCACTTCCACAGGGAAAAGAAATACTGCACTCTCACGGGGTAGGCTTCCAGGTTGAACAATCAGTACACAGGACAAGGACAAGCCAGTTGTGTACAAGGGTCAGGAAAGAGACCTTGGCCTTGGACTTGGAAAGTGCCAGGGTTATGTAGGAGGCTGGCTGATGAGGGGACATTGTAGTTGGAGCAGCAGCTGGAGCCCACATGCGCCTACCATGAGCAGGTCCCTGCCCTCTGGCTCCAGACTGGGCACAATCTCTCCCAGTCCCTTCCTGGTCCACTTAGGGAAGTTGCCCTTATAGTCAGGCAGCTGGGTGACCCCGGGCCATGTGGCTTCGCTGGGTGTCCCCAGCATACGAAAGATACGAAAGAGCTGGTCAATCTCAGAGTCACCAGGAAACAGGGCTTTTCGAGTCACCTGAAATGGGGAAGAAGAGAAGGTGTGGGGTCTGCCACTTTGTTGTACAGAATCCAATACCAGATAAGTGGCCAGACCCAGGGAGAGGCCTGTCAAGATATCTTTCCCATGGTTTTCAAAGAATTCTGGCCTTTTTTGGAATAAGGCCACCTTCCTCAGTCCTTTAGCCAGTACCAAACAACTTTTTTTAAAAAATAGAGACGGAGTCTTGCTCTATAGCCCAGGCTAGAGTGCAGTGGCGCAATCACAGCTCGCTGCAGCCTCAAGCGCAGTCCCAAGCAATCCTCCTGCCTCAACCTCCCGAGGAGCTGGGACTACAAGCATGCACCACCACACCCAGCTAATTTTTATATTTTTTTAAGAGCTGGGGATTTGCTATGTTGCCCAGGCTGGTCTCAAACTCCTGGGCTCAAGCAATCCTCCCATCTCGGCCTCCCAAAGTGCTGGGATTACAGGCGTGAGCCACCATGTCCAGCCTCAAACACTCTTTAATCCACCTCTAATGAAAGCATCAGAGGGCCCCACCCAAACCCAGGAGGACCCTGCCTGTGGCACCCTGTGGCCATGTGTGCCCCTCTCTCTACCATCTCTGCAAAGATGCAACCAATGCTCCAGATATCCACAGCTGTGGTATAGAACTTGCTGCCCAGGAGAATCTCGGGGGCGCGATACCACAGTGTCACCACCTGCAGGGCAAGGAAACAGCACCACTCAGGGTGGCTGAGTGCATGGGTGACACTCCTCCTGCTGCCCCTCTCTCCTCTTTGTCTCACAATACCTCGTGGGTGTAGGTGCGCAGGGGCACCCCGAAGGCTCGAGCCAGGCCGAAGTCAGCCAGCTTGATGGCACCCAACTCATTGATGAGCAGATTCTGGGGCTTCAGGTCTCGGTGGATGACCCGATGTGAGTGGCAGAAACTCACCCCCTGCAGCAACTGGAAGAGGTAGCTCTGGAGAAATGAGTGCGAGGTGGAGGCAGCTGAGTGGAGGCGCTGCGTGGACAGGGATGGCAGGGACGGGGTGTCACCTCTCCTTCCCCGCCCTTCCCTCCCTACCTTGATGAGGTGCAGGGGGAGCTCCGAGTCTGGGGTGGAGTCCATGTACTTCTTCAGGTCCTGGCTGAGGAACTCAAACACCAGATAAAGCTTCCTCTCGTTGTGCACCACGTCCAGCAGCCTGGCAGGAAGATGGCAGTCAGGATGCTACCTTCGCCATCCCAGCTTCCCCGCCTCCATCCCCAACTCACTGGACGATGTTGGGGTGCTTCAGTTCCTTGAGCAGGGAGATCTCCCTGATGGCAGTGCTTGGGACGCCCTCCATCTCCCTGCAAGAAACAAGGGCACACCCACGGGCAGAGACTTGGCTTCTGCGTTCCTTATCCCCACAGAATTACCCAGGCCCCAGCAATGGAGACCTGTGCTCCTTGGCATGTCACCCACCAAGCTCCACAGAGCAGGGCCCCGGCGAAGGCTGGTCAGAAGACAGTGAGCTGGGGGAAGGATGGGGAAGGGCTGCCGGGCAGCACCCGGAGGAGTTAAGTGTGGACTCCAGGAAGGAGGGAACGGATCAGGGAGCGCGCAGGTTGTGATGGCCCAGGGCGGGTAACTCAGGGGCGGTCCCAGCACTCACAAATCCAGTCTGATCTTCTTCAGGGCCACCAGCTGCCCTGTCTCCCTGTTCTTGGCCTTGTACACCACCCCGTAGGTGCCCTCTCCGATCTTCTCTACCTTCTGGAACACATCCATGGCCACGGAGCTGCCTGGGAAACAGAAGGCGCTGGGCCATTTGTGCCCCACGCCCAGCGCCCCTGTTGCTCCTCCAGCCTCCATGCGGCGCCCTGCCCAGCCCAGCCCCGCCCCACCCAGGCTGCCCAGCTCCCAAGGCCTGCGGCCCAGCCACCCCGACCCCAGCTCATCCTGCCTGGGAACCTGGCTGGGGGTCAGAGACTGCCCCTCGCCCAGCCCAAACCCCCAGGGGGTCGGGGGCCACCCCTCACCCAGCCCAGCTCAGCCAGGACCCCCAGGCTTCTCGCCTATGCCTGGCTTCTGAGGGCAGGACCCACACTTTCCCACCCGGCCCCCTGCCCAGCCCAACCAGATCCCCCAGGGGGTCAGGGGACACCCTTCACCCAGCCCAGCCCAGCCCAGACCCTCCGAGTCAGAGGCCACCCCTCGCCCAGCCCAGCCTGGACCCCCAGGCCTCTCACTTGTGCCTGGCCTTAGCAAGACCACCCTCTCCCGCCCGGGTCCCCGCCCAGCCCGGCCAGGCCCAGGCTCTGGGGGCACAAGGTGGCCAGGAAGGGCTGCCCAGGGGCCAGGGCCACTGGGGGCAGAGGTCAGGGGTCGGGAGGGTCTTGAAGTCACAGTCCTGCCCTAGGCTGCACGGTCAGGGCCCACGGCCTCGGCCCGGCTCGGCCCGGCCCGGGCCGGCCCGGCGCAGCCCGTGTGACGACCCTCAGTCTCCTCTGAAGGCAGAGCCTGACCAGGCGCAGACCCCTGCATCCTGGGCCCCCGACCTGGGCCCCCCAGCCCGGCCTCTGGGTCCCTGGCACCCTCCCCTGAGGCCCCAGGCCCAGAATTCACCAGAAGCCCTGAGAGGCTGCAGCACACAGCCCTGGTTGCAGCTCCCCCTCCTGGCCCCCGCCGGCGCTGCACCACGAGCACACATCGAGGGCACGGCCCTTGGGCCTTTATTCACTAGGACCTTCTGGAACCCTTCATGGCCCCACACCAAGCACGGGCTGGCACCCGAACTCAGCCACCTGCAGTCTCCCCGGGTGGGGCTGTCGGATTTATGGCATGCTTTCTGGGCTCTCATTGATGAGCTAATCCCAAAGTAGGGGATGGGGCTGGATTCACCATCCGCCCCTCTGCTTTCGGCTCCAGACAAGGCCGTCGCTGGGGAGGCGTCTGCGCTCTCTGGGGCTCCCGCAGCTCCAGAGGGTTTGGCCTTGGAAGCAGGTGGGGGTGTTGCTGGGCTGCTGTTTCCTACTGGCCGCCGCCCCGCTCCTGCTGGTACAGCCTCTGCTCCCGGATGGCTTGTTCCAACAAGGGCAGGTTCATCCCCTCCACGCAGGTCAGCACGCGCGCCTTCACCAGGGAGCCTCCGTCTGCAAGACAAACACCAGGGCACTAGCGGTGACTGAGGTGACTGAGCGGCACCAAAGTGCATTCCAGCTGTTCCCTTGACAGCTCAGTCCTGGGTTTTGGCAGCAAGCTGCGTGGACAATAACAACGGCATATGGGGCTAAGGCAATTGCGTACTTGGGCCTAGAACCGTGGGCCTGCCATGCACAGCAGGCCCGTGTCTGGAACTTAGCAGGTGGCCAGAAAAGCCCTCTGGTCTGAGGAAAGGCCCCCTTGGCACCTTGGGACGCAATGTCATCAGAAACCAGGGGAAAAGAGACACCCATATTTTAAAAATCCAAGGGACTGAGCTTCTGGTAAGTTTGGCTTTATAGGAACAGGTCATCCCACCGTGGACAAGGGGCTCTAGCAGATGTGATGGTGACCTGATCCATAATGGAAAGGTTTGCCAATGTTCAGGTGGCACCAAACAGGAAAGACATGTGGGATTTGCCATAAGAGACTTTTTAAACATTTTCTTTCTTTTGCCAGATGAACTGGCTCACACCTGTAATCCTAGCACATTGGGAGGCCGAGGCATGTGGAACACTTGAGGTCAGGAGTTACAGACTGGCCTGGCCAACATGACGAAACCCCATCTCTACTAAAAATACAAAAATTAGCCACGTGTAGTGGTGCATGCCTATAGTCCCAGCTACTCGTGAGGCTGAGGCAGGAGAATCGCTTGAACCCAGGAGGTGGAGGTTGCAGTGAGCCAAGATCACACCACTGCACTCCAGCCTGGGAGAGACAGCGAGACTCCACCTAAAAAAAAATTTCTTTTTTTGAGACAGGGTGTTGCTCTGTCACTTGGGCTGGAGTGCAGTGGGTCAATCATGGCTCAGTATAGCCTCCACCTCCCAGGCTCAGGTGATCATCTCATCTTCCTCAGGAGCTGGGATTACAGGCATGCACCACCACACCTGGCTAATTTTTGTATTTCTTGTAGAGATGGGGTCTCGCCATGTTGCCCAGGCTGGCCTCAAACTCCTGGGATCAAGTGATCTGCCCGCTTCGGCCTCCCAACATGCGAGAATTATAGGTGTGAGCCACTGCACCTAGCTAACTTTTTTTTTTTTCTATTTTCTCCAGTCACAGCTTGCAAGGGAAAAAAAAATTTAAAAAATTTTTGCACTCATGTTCTTTCTGCTCTCTGAGCATTTTAATAAATAGATTTCTGAGACGGGCAGATCGCCTGAGGTCAGGAGTTCGTGACCAGCCTGGCCAACACGGCAAAACCCCATCTCTGCTAAAAATACCAAAATTAGCCAGGCGTGGTGGCTGGCACCTGTAAACCCAGCTACTCGGGAGACTGAGGCAGGAGAATCACTTGAACCTGGGAGGCAGAGGTTGCAGTGAGCTGAGATCAAGCCACTGCACTCCAGCCTGGGCGACAGAGTGAGACTCCCTCTCAAAATAAATAAATAGATTCAACGTTCTAGGCCATTACACTGTCTTCTTTTTATGCTGTTTTGAGATAAAGGCTGTGCCTGTCCTTTCCTCTAGTCTAGGTCATTTATAGCACAGCCTGAGGACAGAATCCAGGGTGTCATCCTGCCTAGATTCCAGCTGTCTACACAGGCTACCCTTAGACAATGAACTCATTTGAAACATGAGGTTGCCTGCGTGTCTCAGCTTCTGTTAGCCTAGTGCTGAGCAGCAGAGCCTGCACAGGTTAGAGAGGAATTGGGGCGGGGTGCGGTGGCTCCCAACACTATAATCCCAACACTTTGGGAGGGCAAGACAGGTGGATCACTTGAGGCCAGGAGTTCAAGACCAGCCTGGCTAACATGCCAAAACCCTGTCTCTACTAAAAATACAAAAGTTACCCAGGCGTTGTGGCACACACCTGTAATCCCAACTACTTGGGAGACTGAGGCATGATAATCATTTGAACCAGGGAGGTGGATATTGCAGTGAACCAAGATTGCGCCACTGCACTCCAGCCTGGGCAACAGAGCAAGACTCTTGTCTCAAAAAAAAAAAAAAGAAAAAAAAAAGGACAGGCGCAGCGGCTCATGTCTGTAATCCCAGCACTCTGGGAGGCTGAGGTGGGCAGATCACCTGAGGTCAGGAGCTCAAGACCAGCCTGGCCAACACGGTGAAACCCTGTCTCTACTAATACAAAAATTAGCTGGGTGTGGTGGCACACTCCTGTAATCCCAGCTATTCGGGAGGCTGAGGCAGGAGACTCACTTGAACCTGGGAAGCAGAGGTTGCAGTGAGCGGAGATCATGCCACTGTACTCCCAGCCTGGGTGACAGAGCGAGACTCTGTCTCAAAAAAAAAAAAAAGATAAAGAACATGGAGTAAAGAAGGGCCTGGGTTATAAAAAGCAGTCAGAATGCAGTGGGGTGAGGCCTGGGGACAGGAAGGCGTTATACGGAGCACAGATGTTCTTTTAGGTTTGTCTGCAAAGGGAGGGAAGGTCATGGGCAGGCAGATCGGACTCTAGTGTAGATGATGACTTCTTGCGGTTGAGACTATTATTTCCATATAGAGGCGGCTTGAGCGCCTTATATGTGGAGAGGGAAGAACCGTGGTAACCCTTTAGGTAGGAGGGACCCTGCTTCCTCTTAGACTAGAGGAAGGCGCTAACGGTGGCCATTTCAGTGTCTGACTGTAGGAGGAAGAACGGCTGCCTGTGGCCTCAATTCTAGCTGGGACATAAAGCAATAAGCTGGGAGGGACAGGGGAGGAGAGGAAGTGAGTTCTTACGAGGCAAGGGAATTTCTGGACTAGCTGTGGTGGCGCCTGGGAGGCGGGTGTGGCCAGGACACAGGAAGGATTTCTAGGCAGAGCAGGGAAACCTCAGTGAGCCCCTGAAATCATTGAGCTCCGAATCCTTGGAGCTCTGTGATCTTTCTGCACTCAACAGTTGGCAGGACCAGCAGGGTGGAGGCTGGGGTCTCAGGGCAGGAGTGAAGCTGCCAGGAAAGTGGCTGAAATGGTAGTGAGGCCCAGCGGGGAAAAGAGGTGGGGAAGAAAGTCCAGGAGTCCCGAGTCCACAGGTCCTGAAAGGGCAAGAGGGACGCAGCAGAAGTAGAAGGGAGAGCGGATGGCATGCAATTTCAGGAAAACAAGACCAAGGTGCGGCAGCAGACGTGGGAGGTGGAATTGGGGCAGAGGTGCTTGCTGGTGGAACTGGTTGGCAGCAGGGAGACAGGGAGGGATGTGAGATGCTGACACACCTGAGGAGCCGGGGAAACTCGGGCCCTGCTCCAGACTCTGTGGGTGTGTGGTTTGGGGAGGAAGGTTTGGGCAAGTCCCGGAGCCATAAGGATGCTCAAAGAGGGAGGTGCACAGGGGACACACAGGAAGGTTTCCCTCCCTCCCTTTCTCTTCTCTTTTCTCTTTCTTTTCTTTCGTCTTTCTTTTTTTTTTTTGACAGGGTCTCACTCTGTCCCCCAGGCTGGAGTACAGTGGTACAGTCTCAGTTCACTGCAATCTCCACCTCCCTGGTTCAAGTGATCCTCCCACCTCAAGTTCCCCAGTAGCTGGGACTATAGGCTTGTGTGCAATAATACACCCTGCTAATTTTTGTATTTTTTGTAGAGACAGGGTTTCACCATGTTACCCAGGCTGGTTATTATTATTATTATTTTTTGAGATGGAGTTTTGCTCTTGTCACCCAGGCTGGAGTGCAATGGCGTGATCTCAGCTCACTGCAACCTTTGCCTCCCAGTTTCAAGCGATTCTCCTGCCTCAGCCTCCCGAGTTGCCGGGATTACAGGCATGCGTCACCACGCTCAGCTAATTTTGTATTTTTTTAGAGACAGGGTTTCACCATGTTGGTCAGGCCGGTCTCAAACTCCTGACTTCAAGTGATCCACCCACCTCGGCCTCCCAAAGTGCTGGCATTACAGGTGTAAGCCACCGCGGCTGGCCGTCCAGGCTGGTCTTGAACTCCTGGACTCAAGTAATCCACCTGCCTCAGCCTCCCAAAAGTTCTGGGATTATAGGCATGAGCCACTGTGCCCGGCCTCTTTTCTTTTTCTTTAGAAACAGGGTCTCATTTTGTCACCCAGGTTGGAGTGCAGTGGCATGATCATAGCTCACTGCAGCATCGAACTCCTGCCTCAAGCCATCCTCCTGCCTTAGGCTTCCAAGTAGCTGGGACTACAAGCACAAGCCACCACACCCGGCTAATATTTTCATTTTTGTAGAGATGGAGTCTCTCTGCGTCACCCAAGTTGGTCTCAAAATCCTGGGTTCAAGTGATCCTCCCACCTCAGCCTCTGAACATGCTAGATTACTGAGCCCCTGAGCCCAGCCCCACAGGAAGGTTTCTGATGGCAAGGTGCAGGGGTGCAGTGAGAGAAAAGCAGAAGGCAGAGGATGCATGGTGAGGGCTTGTGGGTAGATGCTTGCTGTGGTCCAGTGCCCTTCGGCCTGGGCGTGCTCCAAGCGCCTCTGGAGTAGGCCTGGGAAAGGCTGTGCCCCACACCTTAGCTCCAGAACAGGCGGCCCTCGGGCCTTTGGATGGCACCAGCAGGTGTCAGGTCTGTGGGTTTTATCGCAGCCCAGCACGTCTTCACCTGTCGGTCTTCTCAGCTAGTTCTTATGCAAACATTTCTGGAAGATGACCTCTCACCTGTCCTCAGAACCGTCAGTCTGGCCACAGGGCAGGATTCACATCTGATCAACCTTTGTGTCCCCACAGGACTTTGGGCCTGGCACAGGAAGGTTTATTGTTTTATTTCCATTTATTTATTACTATTTTGTAGAGGCAGGCGCTTGCTACATTTTCCAGGCTGGTCTTGAACTCCTGGGCTCAAGCGAGCCTCCCCCCCTAGCCTCTCAAAGTGCTGGGATTACAGGTATGAGCCACCACACCTGCACTTTTTTTCCTTTTTTTTTTTTTGAACAGGGTCTCACCCTGTCATTCAGGCTAGAGTACAGTTGTGCAAGATCAGCTCACTGTAACCTTGAACTCCTGGACTCAAGCAATCCTGCCACCTCAGCCTCTCAAGTAACTGGGACG